GACAAAGATTTGTCCTGACTGTGGGCAAGGCGGAAAACTCTAGCAACAGGCAACAGCCCTCTTCTTACCTCTGTGAGTACCCGACACACATGCAGTATACATGCATACATGCAAGCAAAATACTCATACATGTAAAATAAAGTAAATACATCTAAAACATTTTTAAACAGACACAAATAGTCAGCAAATATATTAACAAAAAGTCAGCATTATTAATCTTCAAGAAAATTCAAATAAAAATCACAATTAGATATTATTGCAAAGGAAATGGAAAAAGTCATTGTGCCAAGGATACAGCAGCACTCTCATCTTTACTGCAATAAAAAAATCCAGGATATGAAAACAACCATGGAAGAATGAATATAGAGAATGCGAGGTGTATATCCACAAAGGAATACTATTTAACCATAAAAAGAATGAAATCTTGTCGTGTGTCAGTAGAGAGAAGTGTAGGCATCATGTTAAACAAAACAAATCAGACATAGACAAATACTGCATTTTTGCATTCATTTGTAGAAATTGATAAATGAATTTCAAAGGAGATAGGGAAAGTGGCAGAGAGTGAAGACAGAGTTAGACAAGAGTCACCAAAACACAAGAATTAGAAGCAGAAATTATTGCTGCTGTGCCCAGCACTGTAGACTCTAATCTACAAAAATCCTTGATACTTAAAAATAACTAGGAGAGTCAAAAAATCATTAATGTCTGAGGAGACGGAAATGTTAACAGCATTGATTTGGTTGCTGCGTGTTTCATACTTGTACCAAATCATAAGGCCCATCATAAGTATAGATGAATACTATGTTGATAAATAAATTTTAAAAACAATGTATCATGGGCAAAAAATGTAAAGATTTTGTTTACAATGAGGAGGGAAAACTTGATATTAATTTCAGACCTTTAATTGTGTCCTTAAAAAGTTTCTTTGTTCTATATAAAAAAAATCCACATATTAAATGACAAAAGGTTTGCAGTGTTCATTTGAGAAATGGAAATATTGGTGTTTGTGTGCTGGATAGTTTAATGGCAACTTGACACAAGCTAGAGTTATCTGAAATGAGGGAACCTCAGTCAAGAAATGCTTCCATAAGATCTGGCTGTAGGGCATTTTCTTGATTAATGCTCTTGGGGGAGGATCCAGCCCATTGTGGGTGGTGCCATCCCTGGGCTGTTGGTGCTAGGCTCTATATAAAAGCAGGTTGAACAAGCCATAAACAACACACCTCCTTGGTCTCTGCATCAGCTCCTGCCTCCAGGTTTTTACCGTTTGAATTCCTGTCCTGACTTCAGTGATGAATAGCAATATAAAAGTGTAAGCTAGATAAACCCTTTCCTGCCCAAGTTGCTTTGGTGATGATGTTTCATCTTAGCAATAGTAACCCTAACTAAGACAGTATGCTAACTTATACTCTGCCTTTCCCAAGTTTTTAAAACTTCAAAAGAGATGAGGAAAAGGAGGGAAAACTCAGACGCTAGGGGAGCTTTCCAATGAAAAGGATTCCTAGTAGCAGCTGGAAGAGCAGGAGTCCAGTCTCTTGTACCACTGCTGCAGGGAAAACAATCCAGTTTCCTGTCTTCATGGACTGTGTGAAGGTTCTTACAGGTCATTATGAACTGTGTGGAGAGAGGCAGTCCCCACCCTTTCCAGGCCTCTTACCGTGTTCAGCTCTGATTCCAAGCTGCAGTTTCTAATGTGCGGGAACACTTCACTGTACTTGCTTGGGTAGGTAGATGCCAGGTAGTCCTTCATCTCCTCCAGGTTACTGGCTGTCAGAAAGCCATCTTCAAGGTCAAAAGAATTGGTCAGCAGCAGAATCACCCTGCAGAGCAGACCATCATCTTGACCTTCATGACTAAAAAGACCACTGGCTCTAAAACCTGGGAGGAATGTGGGTATAGGGCAGCCTTTTCCCCCCTGCCCAGTGAGGGAAGTTGATAGGAAGAGCAACTCTGGATGCCTGTGCAGAAGCCTCAGATCTGAGCAGAGATGAAGTCAGAGACTACCTCACAAAAGATAAGTGGCCTCTGATGAGACTGGGTGGGATGCTGGAAGTATTCAGTACTTCATAACCAGATTAATACCCATTGGTGGTAACAGCATCTGAATGTGGCTAATGCCATTGAGGAACTAAATTTATAAATAAATTTAGAATCACTTAAATATATTTACCTATTTTTAGACAGGGTCTCACTATACATCCTTGGCTGTCCTGGAATTCGTTGTGTATACCAGGCTACTCTCAAACTTAGAGATCCACTTGCCTCTGCCTCCAGAATGGTGAGATTAAAGGCATACACCACTACATTTGGCTTAGAATTCTTAAACATAATTTTATATCACTGTGCAAATTAAATTATTTGAATGTATACTGACTTCTATTAGTTTCAGTCCTAGTTTAGAGATAGCTACTTGTGTAAGTGACTGCCCTACTGGACATCTTAGCATCTTTGAGGGAAGCCAAAGACAGTAAACTGTAGTCTCTGAGACTTGGTAGAGAGGTCCTGGTTACACTTGAGATGGGGAATGGGACCAAAGACATTGGCATTTTTTGCTGAAAGCCCCTTTCTACTAAGTGCAATGACCACTTTAAACTGCCTATTCCCTGCAAGGCAGGCCCTAACTTTTTGGACCGTCAGTTCTAGTGCTGGTAAAAGGCAGCAATTATGTAGTTGAGAGAAGATGTTGACTGCAACACTGGAGTCTTTAGTCTACCCCTTGACTTCTGGGAACCCAGTCCTTCCCAGTCACCCTTCCAGCTCAGAGCTTTGGAGCTTTGCCTTCCCACTTGAGGCCCAAGGTTCTGAGGGACAACTTAGACTCACTTGTTTAAGCAGTTTTCATAGTTGAAGGTGGCCTTGAAGCCATAGATGGAGAAGGTCACAATGCTGGCAAATATGGAGGTGGAACTGTTGATGATGGACACAATGATGGCATGCTTCTGGCAGTTGTTGGAGGGTTCATTGTAGCTGGCAAAAGCAATCAGACTGCCAAACCCCAAGCCCAGTGAGAAGAAGATCTGCGTGGCTGCATTGATCCAGGCCTTGGGGTTGGCTAGCTGTTCCATCTAAAAGGCCAGTAGGGACAGGGCTGAGGAATCCTGGGCTCTAATCCCAAACTCTCCCTCCCAGAAGATGGAGGCACAGAGATGGAGAAGAAATTACTTCTAATATACAGGAAGTCAGGGTGGCTTGGGGCTGGAGTCCAGGTCCCTGTCCCAGACTGTCTCCAGTGTATTCCTTGGCAGGTAAACTACTCAGCACTCTTCCTCTCATACCCTCTATGGCACCCTACCCATGGGAGTGCAATTGAATATTGTCTAGTCTAATAGTCCGAAGCCCATGAAACCTCTGAATCACCAGCCAGGCACTGCATTGGTCTTAATGCACAGAAATTTAGATGATGTGATCTGGATGTGGAGTCAAGTCTGAGGTGACCCTAATACTGATACTTGAGGTTTTGCAACAAGGGTGTATATTTTGAAAGGTGCTACAGTGATCTGAGTCCAGCCACAAGGTTTGTTAAGCAAAGAATGTGCCTTACTAAAATGGCATCCCCACTGAAGAACACTGGCTAGGGTGACTGGAAAGGAAAAGTTAAAGAGAGGATCATGGCAACCTAGAGGGAAAGGGTCTAGGGAAATATGGGGATAGATAAGGGAGATGACTGGAGTGGTGCCCATGGTCCCTAGCTCAGTGGAGTGTCTGGACAGGGCTTTGGGTTAGAACTGGAGCAGGAAGACCAGAAAGAAGGCACAGGCATTAGTCATCAGGGCAGTGAGGGCAGCAGGAGGGGATGGGCAGAGGATTTAACTTCCAGAGTGTACAAGACTTGGGATGACCTGTCTGAGGAGGAAGTTTGGGCCCCCAGGATACCCATTGTCTTTGGCCCAGTCTTGGGCTCATATCAGCCCTGCTGATTACAGATCTTACCCCTTCTCTTTCCTCCCAGGCATCCCAGAAAGGGACAGTCCCCTTCCCTTGCAGCCCATACCTTGGGTGTGAACATGTACATCAGGCCATTGGTGGCTCCATGGAGTGTAAGGCCACGGACCAGGTAGATAATAAGTACACAGTAAGGCATTGATGCGGTGAAGTAGACCACCTGTGGGCATCCAGGAACAGAATAAGACTGCTGGAGAGGTAGGGATGGAAGGGCAGACAACCATCCCCACAAGGATGCAGCTGCAGCTGCTGACAGCTGCAGGTGGCACTGATCCTGAGTAGGACACAGGGTCTGAGTGTGGTTTGGAGAAAGGCAGTATGGGACATTGCTACCCATATCTGTTGCTACCATGAAATTTCTGCTTTCCACACTCCTCCAGCCCCTCTGTCTCTAAAAAGGGCTGGAGGAGCCCACAAAACATGTGAGTCTCTCTGTTCAGTATTTGAGCCAAATTTGGCTCTGAGCTTTCTGGGGTTCCAAGAAAAGCAGGAAGACCAATCACTTACAAAATCTATATTGTCTCTAAAAGGGAAATTAATTCAATAACTGGGGGAAGAGCCGGCTTTCCAGGATGGGATCTGAGAGAAGCCTGACTAGGCATGCCCGTGGGTAGAAAGCAATGTATGAAACGAAGTTCCTACAATAAATGCAATAGATATTGCTGGTGGGATTTTGTACATTCTTCATGAAAAGTCACTATTTGGTTAAGCCAATCTTCTTTCCCTATTGATATGCATCATAATTTAAAGATGTGTTCTTGGTTGCTTTGGCAGGGGCATCCCAGACTTGGGGTCATCCTGACTTTTGAAAACCCTCAAAGTATAAGGACTTTCAGGTGCATGTCTGCTTAGCCTGGGTGAGAAATTTTGGGTAAATCACTTCCTATGTATGCATAGGTTCATGGATAAAAGCAAAAAAAAATTTGGCAAGGTTGTTTTTGTTTTATCAATCTTCTTTTAGGTTGGATCCACCTCTAAGAAACACAGCTAGAGAACCATGTCTTGATATGTTTGAATTATGCTCAGTTTTCCATTTCATCATTGGCATGGCACCATATTTCATGAATTTCTAAAACTGTCAGTGGGAGACTGAGAAGAATGTGGGCTATGTGTTTACCATGGCATCTTATACATTTAGGGAACTAACAAACATACCCAAGTATCTAATATATCAGACCAGATAGAGATACAGATGGATAGGGTCCTTCAGTCAGTGACGTGAAAGAAATTCAGGGATATGGGGAAGGGCTGATCCAGGTCCATAACACTGGGCACTTAGAGGACACTCATAGAAAGCTCTGAATTTCCTCCCCCCACCCAGTAGACCATGTTTCTTACAGGCTTTCTGGAGTCTCCACAAAAATGACTCCTTCTTTTCCCTTGTGGGAAGGATGGCTGGACATGTGATGTAGCTTAACCTATCATAAGTAATAACTTCTGATCAACAAGTAAAAATTCAGAGGAGAATAAGAGAGATTTCAACAGAAAAGGAAAAGGCAGCATCTTTCCCTATACATGGAACTGCTGGGACATTTCTGTCAGGGAGGGGGTCATAGCATCCGCAGAGAAAATAGATGGTGAGGATTGATATGGTACCATGTCCAGGCTCTTCTTAATTTCACAATTGTAAGAGGCCTCGAGAGGAAAGGACTGCTTTAATATTCAAGAGTACAGACATCACCTTTAGATCTTTTGGATCATGCTTGGTCTAGGTTGGGACAGAGCAGATGCTGCAAGGTCTGAGTTCACTTGAGAAAGCACCCTGATTCTTCTGCTCAACTGTGAGGCAAAGTGCTCTGGGGCTAAGGTGCTGGTCACTATGGGGATTTAGAAACCAATGTAAAATGTCATACAAAGCACAGCACTGGGGTTGTCATGCAATAGCTTGATGACGTAGGTTGTTCTAAGCTTGATACCTCATGGGAAAAAAATGTCAGTGCTGGAGAAGGCAGCTCAGGTGATCAGGAGAGTGAGATTCTCAGAAGAAAGATGGGAAGTGGCTAAGTCACAAAAGACATGAAAACATTCATGGGGCATGTCACCAATAGGATGGGAAGTCCTTGGAGTAAATCTGGGCTCTGTCCTGACTCTGCTGTCCCTACCTATGATCTTGGGAAGATCACTTTACCTATCCAAGCCTTTTGGGAGTGTCATCATGTATCTACTCTGAGGGGCTTACATAATAAGACACTGTGGGCATGTGGTCAACTATGGATTTGCTTTGCAGAGTAGTTGAGTATGGAACATTCACTCCAGCTTGAAACAGGTGCAGCTGATGGAAACACAGCAGCTATTTCGGCCCTAGGAGGAATGGAAACCTGAGGACCCAACAGGAAGAAAGGACTTAGGCAGATAAAAGGCCTAATCCAGGTATTGTGGCACATCTGTGGTCTGCAATCCTAACACTCAGAAGGCTGAATCAGGAGGATCACTATGAGTTTGAGGCCAGGTTGGGCTGTATAGTGAGTTTCAGGCTAGCCTGATCTACATAAGGAGAAACTTTCAAAGTAAAAGCCAAAACAAAAACTAAAACCCCAAACTGTAGAACAAAACAACAACAACAACAACAACAACAAACAAACCAAGGAAGAATCCAACAGTTCTGGGTCTCATTGATTCCCTAAAAGCACTTTGAAATGGGACCCCAGGTCCAGTCACACAATAAAGTCACTGGAAGCTGGCTCATCTGTCCATGTTGAAGTCCCTCCCCAGAATAACAGCTCTGGCATTTGAGGGGGAAGGACTGAATTGTCAGATGTTTAAAGATCTCCATGAAATGCCCTGGTATAGCTGAGTTTGGGAGCTGGCTCGGGGGGGATCTCATTTCAGATTCAGTGTTACAACTTCAACCCTTCTGTCAACCTTCACTGTCAGCTAGTAGAGGAACATGCCAATAATACCATCCATGCCTTCTGATCCAAGAAGCCTCTACTTATGGACTGGAAGAGACAGCCCCTGGCACTGATCAAGGCCAGGGCTGAGGTGCTACTCATCCACCCACCCAGATGCATCACCATCATATTCCCCAATCCACCTTGCCAGTTGATTCGGTGCCTCTCAGGATGCACAGATAGACCATCAGCCAGGCCAGGGTGAGGCACAGTGCTGGCTCCCACTGCACTCCTCCGTTCTCCTGGATGGATGGTGAAATGTTGAGTGTTTTCCTGTACCAGAAGTACTGTGTTGATGAAGCCTTTTCACACTCCTCATCATAGCCTGTGCGGTTACCATTCAGTGGGCAAATAGACCACGGCAGGGGATCCTTTGGAATGAAGTGAGAATCAACAGAAAGGTAAGGGGAAGGCCAAGGTCTGGGTAGGATGATAGGAAGTGGCTTTGACAGGAGGCTTTATTTATACCTTGTCCTGTACATATAGGCTAGCGTGGCTTGCTTTAAGCAACAGGGTACAGTGGAGCAGAGGCTTTCTGGCCTAGACTTTCCAGATCCTTGTAGCTACCTTTTGTCCCTATTCAAAACCAGTTGTAGGGCTAGAGAAATAGCTCACTAATTAAGAGTCCTGGTTGTTTTTCCAGAGAATCCAGGTTAGAGTCACAGCACCCATATGATGGCTCACAACCATCTGTAACCCTAGTCCTGGGGGATTTGACACCCTCTCCAGGCCTCTGCAGGCACCAGGTATGCATGTGGTACACAGACATGCAGACAAAACACCATACACATAAAATAAATAAGATAAAAATTTAAAACAAGCAAAAAAATTCAAGCAGTGAAGGTACTTGAATTAGAATCTTGGAATGGTGAGTCTATTTGGATGGAGAGGCCACAGGAGGGAGACATTGGTGCCTGGTGAAAACCAGCAGTAGGTTCCAGCCAAGAAACAGAAACCCTCATAAACTCAGTTGCCTCGCCTAGTCCATTCTCTGATCTCTCTGCTGAGGCCACTCTAACTCACTCTGTTTCACATATTTGGCTGCAAACCTGAGGATACCTTGGCTGTACACAGGATCTCTGGGATCTTTTGCTTGAGATGAGGTGGACCTCAGGGTTTATTTTTAAATGTTCCTGTCAATGTACATGCTGCATGAAGTAGCTCTAGGGCATGTAAGAACAGGTTCAATAGAACAACTGAGAAATTTTCAGTTCTCTTCTCTCTTCATCTGCATCAGAAGGTAAAGATAGGGTTCCTACATTTGCTTGGCTAAAGAAGGACCCCCACCCCCACCCCATGAAGTAGAGTCTTGTAGAGTAGCTTGTCACTTGTGGGATTGGGCAAAAGCCCTCATGTGGTGTGTATGATGATGTGAATGTAAATTTTTATGTTCCAGGGACATGCCTGGCCCATAGAAGTGTAAGTGAAGATCTGCTGTGTCATTATCCTGTGACCTTGGAAGGGGATTTAGTGCAGGGTAAGGGGAAGTCCAACAACCTGTGAAGTATGAAATGCATGGATATTAAAGCAGTACTTCCTAGATCCTTTGCTCTTTCCATCTGGAAAGAGGTTGAGATGGAGGCAGTGAGATTAGAGTCTCTGAGAGTGAAAGGCTGAAGATGGGGGAAATGGAACATGAGTGGTGGAGAGATGGTCCACATGAGACCATCTCTCAGTGTGGAATAGTGGATCTTCTATTTATTTTCCACAATGCCTAGACCCTTCCAGAATATCAGTAACAAGAATTTGGATAATGCATTGTTTAAATTGTTTGTCATTGAAAATAGCCCCTACAATGTTAAAGAGTATCATTGCTCCTTTTAGGTGAACTTTTGGGATCTTCAGGGTCAGCCTAGAATCAGGAAGATGGAAGGACAAATGGCAATGGCAAGGGGAGGAGGTAGAAACAGGACAGGAGGAGAAATAACCGTTTCAGACTTGCTGGAATGGTGAAGTCATCCCCATAAGTCCTTGCCACATATTTTCTCCTGAGTTTGTCATAAAATGGTTTGTGATATTTTCAGGACACTCTCTGTAGATATTCCATTGAGTGCTGTGGACCTGCTCCTCAGAAATGTGCACACACATAGAGTTGCACAGCATAGCTCACATTGTGACGAGTAAAGGATTCTGATGTCTCTGCTTGGTTTGAGATGTGTGGCATACCTCACCCTCTCCCCTCATTTAGAGGGTTCCTATAGGCTGGTGTTCTCATCCTCCACCAACTCCCCACTTGGTGAATGGCTCTGCATCTTCTACCCTTTTTGCTTCTGCTCTGGATAGAGGTCAGCTCACCTGGAAGGAGTGGAAGAAATACCAGAAGCCCCAGGCATTGATGACATTGTAGTACATGGCAAGGAAGAAGGAGACCACCACACTAGCAACACCTGTGAGCAAGCAGAGGGCCATGCTAAAGATCAGATGTATGTGATTTAACCAGTGGCACTGGAATGACAGAACTATGGTGACATCCCAAAACAGGAACACTTTTCCTTCAGGTTTTCGACAGACCTGATACAACTACAACCTCTTCCTAAGGGTTATTACCCCTAACTGCTGATCATTTGAGATGGGAGACTAATGACAGTTTTTTGACATCTAAATGTCAAGTCCTGGGCTCAGTATTCTATGTGCCATTAGTTCTCACAACAGTATTGTCCTTCTTTCGAAGAGTAAACTGAAGCTCAGAGCTTGCCCAAAACTACCCAGGAGAGCTATGGAGAAGTGCCAATCACATGCCTGACATGATGCTTGCTCCTTTTGGAGGATGAGTCACTGGAGCCAACCCCATCCATGTGGCAGGAGTGTGAGAGGTGAAGCAGACAGATAACCCCTACCTCCAGCCTGGTCTGACCTATGAGGGTCCCACAGTAGCACTGTGAAAAAGAGAGAGTTTGCAATCAGGTTGCTCTCAAGTGGACTCACACTGGCCCTCAGGAGTACTGCCAAACTCTTGTCATCCCACATGACAGGAGAGCTATAAGTTGTTGACCATGGGCGTGGTAGACTATACCAGTATAAGTATCATTACATAGCAGCAGCTCCCTCTGCTGCTGAATTCCCACTGGGAATTCAGGTCAGTAAGTGGGTGTCAGTGGCCAAGGTGCCAGGCAGCCTTCCCTGTCTTTCCAATGTGCAGCATACGTTACTGCCTCAGCAGACTCTGTGATGTCCTTCATAGCTCTTCACAGTTAGGAGGCAGTTTGAAGATGACTCCTAATGCCCCGACACACTTCTTCTAAAGCTGTGCTAGGTCACATCAAATTGACCCTTCTTCATTCATGAACCATTACTCAGCATTCCTGTCTGCTCCCCTTTCTGGGGCATGAAGGTGCATAGAATATCTATGGCCACTGATGGCCCTGGACCCTGGACTTTTACAAAGTAGGAGAACCACACCCTGGAGGTGCCAGGGGACAGTGACTGAAGATCACTCTGGAAGGGTGCAGTGGACTACACCTGGTATGCACAGATGCCTTGGCTTCTGCATACAGGTATCACTGTGGTGTCCCAAAGCCCCGAAGTGGTGTGGTGAGGATGAAATGAGCTCACACAGTCATAGGCCATGCTCAGCATCAGGCATATAGTAAGCAGGAGGCAGTTGTGTACATCCCTAGATGGTAGGTGGTTGGGACTGAATGAATGCTGTTGTGCCAGGCAGCTGTGTCCAGTCATTCACAGAATCTCAAGCTGAGGTCCAGAGTGGAGATGCCCTGAGGTGGAGTTTCCTTGGGGGGCTGCACGTGGGGGTCAGAATTCAGGGCCCTCTCTGCCCAAGTTCCATGGTAGCCCTCCCTAGGCTGTCAGTTAACCCAGTCACAGGCCTTGCTTATGGACAGCAACCCTCACACCTGTGATGCCCAGAAACACGTGAGTCTCTGTCAGAGGAACTGAAAAGGATCCCACATACCGACACCACTGAGGTAGGGGCTGATGGTCCTCCAGGCACCGATGCTGCCCTGCCGCATGCGTTGTCCCACAGCCAGCTCCAGGTACAAGAGTGGCATCCCCTCTACAATGAGCATGATGACATAGGGGACCAGGAAACTCCCTGTGGGATGCCAGGGCGGAACATCAGGTCAGTGTGCCGAGATGGGATTTGCCCTGCCCTACCTCTGTGCAACTATGCTTCTATCACCTTACCTTTCCCCATCCAGTCCTTTCCCCATCCATCTCCCCTCAGACCTTTCCACTCAAAATGGAAAGGTCTTTTCTGCCTTTGTTCCTTCTACCTTCCACACACCCTCCCTTCTACAATTTCTCTCACTATACATCAGCCCACCCATCTATCTGACCATCCTTTGATTTATTTATTCATCCATCTATCCACCATCCTTTTCTTCCTTCTGTCCCTCTATTTGTCTATCCATAAATCTATTTATCTATTTCTAGTAAAGGCTATGTTTCCATAAGCTTTATAGAATAGTAGTCCAAGCCTCAGAGGTTATAAAATAATCTCATTTTTTTAAAACCCAAAGTGTCAAACAGTAACCACAGCAGACCTAGTGAGTCCCATGGTCAGCTTGTCTCTGTGACAGGACCTACTCACTTGACTGCTATTTGGGGTCAGGTGAAATCCGAGGCCTGGTGCCAAGTGGGAATGGGGATATTTTTAGCACTGCTCAGCAGTCATTTGCATCATTCTGCCAACCCCCAATTACACAGTTCAGGCAAATGAGCTCTGTCACCCTTTTGACAAAGACACTAAAACAACTGAAAATGCATGTACAGATAAATTAAATGTAATCCATATTACAAATTTTATATAAAACTATGAAAATAGATCATAGGCCTGTACTTACTACCTAGAGCTTAAAACTTAAAGAAGCAACAGGGAAAATCTTTATAACTTCAGGTTAGGCAAAGATGTTTTAGATTCAAAAGTAAAAGCACCATCTATAGAAGAAAATGTTGATAAACTGAACTATACTACATTTCCCCCCCTTGAACAACACTTAGCAGAACAAAAAGAACAACTGCAGACTTGGAAAAAATGCATATAAAACACGTTCCTGAGAAAGCGTTATATGAGGCATTTATAGAGGAATCTCAAAACTGAAAGATGTTCCATAAGTAACACATCTTAGTACACTTACGTTGCATCTTGGAATGCATGAGATCAGGTCTGTTATAAAGAATGGAAATGCACTGGCTCTTGGTTCTGGAGGAGGCACCATGCAGAGCACAGTGCTGGCTTTGAGTCCTTTCTTACTGAAGACAAGTGCAGCAGAGGGCAAGAGTGAGATGTGAACTAAATTTTTATAGCAAACTTCACTTCTCTGATTATAACAATCTATCCTCAATGCCAAAACCCTAATGATCTAATCACTTTTGAAATATGCTACCTCTAAACATTATTGAGTGAGGACCAAGTTTCTAAAAGCAAGATTCTCTGACAGACTCCCAATGCAGTTAACAAAACCAGAATATTTACTATACAGATTTATTGAAATTTTACCAGTTTCCCAGAGTAGGATCCAGCTTACAGTCAGATTCTCAGATCTGGTCTTAAAGTTTCCTCAGTTTTTTTTTTTTTTTGACACTTTAGAAGTTTACCAGAGAGTTTATTTTGTGGAATGTCTCTCATTTGAGCTTCTGGCAGAAACATTAAAGTGACCTGATGTCCTCCTTCAGAGGTACAGGATGCCTGCCCATTGGCCCCTTCTTGGCAATGCTGACTTTGCTCATGTGGCTTAAGTGGCTTAAGATTTCTCTGCTGAAACTTAACTCTTCCCTTTGAAACATTAAGTAATTTGGAGGGGGTACTTTTTGTTTTTGTTTTAGAACATGGTCTCATTGTATGGCTTAGGCTGGCAATCTTCCTGCCTTTGTCTCCCAAATGCTGCATTATAGGCATATTTGGCCACTGCATTAGACTTGGAGAATTTGATTCTTACTCTTTTGTGTGGTCGTTTTACATGAACTAATAATTCTTACCTAAAACAATGATTAGTGCATTAGTTGTGTTTATAATTCCTCTGCCTGTAACATACTCTATCACTTTCAAGTGGTTTGTCATGCACAACAGATAACTACAGCATATATGAGCATTTTTTGTTAGCATCCATGCCACCTGTATGTCTGTGTAAGCTTGGATGACTGGGAGGAAGTGACATGGTTCTTATTCCTTAATTCCCTGAAATCTGCCAATATATCTCTACCAGCATTGTGTCATGCACCATTCCATCTCCATGCTGGTCTTCTGGCTCCCAGTTTATAAGTGTCTCCCTGGTTTTGTGGTACTCGGTCTACTTTACCTCTCTGTCTCTTCCCTGGTTAAACCCTCTTTTCTTGCTCCTTATACTTGAGCTAAAATTTACACTTTCCCTCTGTGGCCACTGTTCCCTGGCTAGGAGGCCTTATCACCTTCACTTTTGTCTTCCCCTTTCCATTTTCTGCACATATTTGGCTTCCTTACAGGCTTCCCTCTCTGCCCTATACTCTGTATGACTTACTTTTTGAGTAATGAACTATGTGAAAATGCAGAAACCACCATTTTCTCCTGGTATGTCTCCTTACCACTGAGGAAGCTTTTGTCCTTACTCAGCTCTGCATGGTACTGGACAAAGCTGGAGCCCAGGGAGTACTTGGTGACTACAGGTTAGTATCTTTCAGGTCTTACTGGACCTTTTACGCATACCATTTTTTCCAATAACTTCTTCAAATACTGAGGTAGGGTCTTCATCTTTGGTCTCATAGTTCCTGATTTTGAGGCAATTGTCTGTTGTGGAATAATCCTCTTGCACATTGTAAAGATTTATTACTCGAATTGGTTTAATAAAACACTGATTGGCCAGTATCCAGGCAGAAAGTATAGGCAGGACAACCAAACTAAGAATGATGGGAAGGAGAAGGGTGGTGTCAGGAGTGGCCAGCCAGAGGGAGCAGGAAATGAATGTGCCATGCTAATAAAGGTACCACCATGTGGCAGACCGTAAATATGGAATATGGGTTAACTCAAAATGTAAGAGCTAGATAGTAATAGGCCTCAGCTATTGGCTGAGCATTTATAATTCATATAAGCCTCTGTGTGTTTATTTGGGACTGGGTAGTCAGGACAGGACTTCCATTTACAATTGTCCCTGTACTATTTACAGCTATGCTACTCCCAGACTTCTTTTAAGTCACCCACTGAGGACAGAAGAAGACTCTATCTGGCTCACCACTGCCCTTTAATTCTTTTTGTTTGTTTGTTTTTCAAGACAGGGTTTCTCTTTGTAGTTTTGGTGCCTGTCTTGGATCTCACTCTGTAGACCAGGCTGGCCTCAAACTCACAGAGATCTGCCTGGGTCTGCCTCCTGAGTGCTGGGATTAAAAGTATGCGCCACTGCCACCCAGCCCTTTAATTCTCAACAAAGGGTCTGACAAGGAGCATGTCCTCCACAGACTGTTGGTGATAATGGTTCTACAATAGTGGTTCTATAGGAGGGTAGGTAATAAAGATATTACTGGAGGATAGTGATGGAAATGTCTTGAAAGTCACTCATGTTGCTAATAACAGAGCACCTAAAAATTCACATGGGGCCCAGTAAGATGGCTTAGCAGGTGAAGGTGCTTTCCACCAAGCCTGATGACCTGAGTTTGATTCCTGGGACACAAACGGTAGAAGGGGAGAACTGACTCTCAAAGTTGTCCTCTGACCACTACACAAACAAAATAAATAGATTTAAAAAAACAGCCTAAGAATTCACATAGAACTATTTTAACTTCCTTTGACTTTACTTGTGTGTACACTAGATAAGACAGGAGAAAGTCTATCCATAAGGATGGGCAATGAGAAGTATTCTTTGAACTCATAAGACACTGTAGATAAACACACACACATACACAAACCCTTCAGTGTGTGCATTAGATAAGACAGGAGAAAGTCTATCCATAAGGATGGGCAATGAGAAGTATTCTTTGAACTTATGATAAGACACTGTAGATAAACACAAAAAATACCTTGAATGTTAGAACAAATGTCTTCCTCTAAAATAGACTTGCTGTGAAAAAGAAAAGAAAGCAGAGAGGATTTATGTTTATTGTATATCATCAGGCAATGATGATGAACAGTGCAGAAGAAAACAGGTTTTTTAAAGATGAAAAAATATGATTGTTAAATTTAAAGCCCAGTGGGAGCAAAAAGTAGAGCATAGTCACAAACACAGAAAAGAATCAAGAGGTGGACAAGGCATGGCCAGCAAGCTTAAGCCCTTGCTCTATCTAGAACTGAGAGGGAGAGAACACCACAGACACAACAGTTGGAACATGTGCAGTAATGAGATTTGTAAGACAATTTCCTGATCGTGTGATTGTGAACATCACATTATATAGAACATCACATATATTTCCATGATACTTTAAGTGCCTAGGGTACCTAAGAATTAATAAGATTAGCTACAGAATTCTCCATCACAGAATTAAACATCTGAAAACAATAGAAAAAATTTATAGATTTTGAGCAAAGGAGATTGCAACCCATTCATAGTGCTACAAAGGAAAGATAGTCTTAACATTGAGTCCTTTATTTTTTTGTTCCTGAAAGAATTGTTGATGAGCTGCAGTGTGGGTTCAGAAGAAAGAACTTAAGTATGGAGTTGTGTTATAAAATAAGTAATCAACAGTAAATAAGTAAGCAAAACAAATCAAGTGTAAAAATAATACTGGTGATTTCATTGGAAAAATAATATAAAAGAGAAAAGGAATTTATGAATAGGGAAACATGATTATTAATAATAAAATAATCATTGTCACATATATGAAATCCCAGATTATATTTTTAAAATGTGCTATATAGAATGGTGTAAGGAAAGGAGCAAGAAGTAGAAGTATGCTGTGGTTTGAAGGTGTCCCTCAAGTTTCATGTGTTGGAAACTCAAGTCCTTAATTCATATGGTAATGATATGTGGAGGTGGGACCTATGAGAGATGATTGGATCATGGGAACTCTGGATTAATGAATTAATGAAACATAGAGATGGAGTGGCTTTGGAATAAAAGCAAGCTTTTCTAGGCAGAGCTGCTCTGTTTCAGCATGTGAGATCCTTTGTCATGTTATAATACAGCATAA